GCCGGGATCCCAACCCTGGGGGCCCCGCCCGCCCCTCGCTCAGCCAGTGAGCGGGAACCGGTCTGTATGTGGGATCCGAACCCTCGGCGGGAGCACCGCCGCGCTTCCAAGCGGTGCACTGTAGCAGTGCGCCACTGGGCCGGCCCTGAAAAAAAATCTTAATGAGTCTCACCAAAGACTTATTTATTGCCTTAATATATATATATATATATATATATATATATTTTTTAAAGATGACCGGTAAGGGGATCTTAACCCTTGACTTGGTGTTATCAGCACCACGCTCTCCCATGTGAGCCATGGGCCGGCCCTTAATTAATATTTTTTTAAATTGCATTTTGTTTTCTCAGCCTACACTATTGATTTTTTGTTTGCTTTGTATTTAATTGATTTCTGTTCTTTCTTCATTATTTTCCTTTTTCCCGTATTCTTGGGTTTGCTCCGTTGATCTTTTCAAAACTTCTTGAATTAAATACTTACCTCATTAAAAAACAAACAACAAAGACTTCTTGTTTCTGTTACTGTCTGAAGTGACACGTCCCTCTCTGCTCTGCTGTCATCCTCAGACACTGTTACCTTCCCCTGTTCCAAGTATTTGGTAGTTTCACGATTACCTTGTGAAGCCAGGGGTTATTTTGCAATATGTATTCAGAGTGCAGATACTTGAAAATTTCCTTTAACCATCCTTTTGTCATCTTTAACTTTACACATTTAGGTCAGAGAACATCATCTGTATAAAGCTGATTCTCTGAAAATCATCTTCCTTTGTGGCAAGTACATGGTTGACTTTTGTGAATGTTTCGTATATGCTTCCCCCCAAATACACATATTCTCTAGTTGTCGGGTATAATATTTTCTATATATCTGTTAGTTTAAAGTTATTAATGGTGTTATTAAAGTCTTCTATATCTTTGCTCATTTTGTCTGTTGGATCTGTTTGAGAGAGGTGTATCGCAATTCTCCAAATAAAATGTTAGTTTATCCTTTTTTTCTCATTGTTGCATTGCTTGTTGCTTTATATATTTTCAGGCATGATGGTAGATATATATGGGTTCGTGATCATTGTATCTTTTTGATATGTTGCTCTTACTACCTGCATGTAATACCACGTTGTCCTTAATGATTTGTCCCCTTGATTGTATTTTGTCCAATATCCAGATTTGCTCCAGCCTTTCTTTTGCTTCATATTTTGCTGATACAGCTTCCTCCATTCTTTTTCTACTTCTTTTTCAATTTTTGAAGATAGAATTTGCATACAGTAGGGGCCTCCCGCCCGAGGGTTCGGATCCCACATACAAACCGGTTCCCGCTCACTGGCTGAGCGAGGCGCGGGAGCAACGCCGAGGGTTGCAATCCCGTTGCCGGTCCCCGGTCCGGTACGGGGGCAACACTGAGGGTTGCGATCCATTGCCGGACACGGAAAAAGACAAAAGACAAAAAAAAAAGCAAATTTTCAATCCCTACCCCAGAAGGACTGCACATGGTTGTCTGGCAGTTGGTGCAGGAATCTGCATTTTCAGCAAGTGCTCAGGTTTCTGTGTGAACTAAGGATTGAGGACTTCTGCATTAGAAGGTGGGAAACATAGGCAAGGGAGAGCTGTGGGTTGGAAATAGAATGATGGTGTTTGGGAGCTGGAATACACATGCCGTGATTTTTATGGGGCAGAGACAGTGGATTGTGGAGGACACAGACCTCTTGCTATGCTCCAGACATGTTTTGATAAACAGCAGATTGATTGTCTCCCCAAACTCATTGAAACTTAATCCCCACTGTGACGGTGTTAAAAGGGTAGAAGATCCTATCGTGGTAATTGAAAAGTGGGGCCTGTAAGAGGTGATTAGATTGTGAGGACTGTGCCCTAGTGAACGGATTGATCAGTTCATGGAGTAATGGGCGTGGTTCTGATGGCTTTAAAAGGAGAGCAACTGTGGCGTTCCCTCTCTCTTGCTCCTGCCACTCCTTGCCATGTGATACCCTGTGTTGCTGTGTAGAGCCACCACCAACAAAGCCCTCACCAGATGGATTTCCTGGACTTTGGACTTTCCAGCCTCCAAAACTGTAAGCAATAAATATTGTTTCTTTACAAATTACCCGGTTTTAGGTATTTCTGTTATAAGCAACAGACTAATACAGTTCAGTAAATGACACCAACAACAATCAAGTTGTAGACAGTGCCATCACCACCCCAAATTCTGCTTTACCCTTTTATAGTCAACCCTTCCTCCCCCTCCACCAGCCATGGTAACCACTGATCTGTTCTCTTTCCCTATTGTTTCATTTTTGCAAAAATGTCCTGTAAATGGAATCATATAGTATGTAGCCTTTTGAGTGTGGCTTCTTTCACTTACCACAGGGCATTTGAGATTCATTCATGTGGTTGCATGCATCCATAGTTCATTCTCTTTATTGCTGAGTAGTATTCCATTGTGTGAATGAACTACAGTTTCTTTATCCATTTCCCAGTTGAGGGACATTTAGGTTGTTTCCAGTTTTTGATGATTGCAAATAGAGCCACTAGAAACATTCATGTACATTTATTTGTGTGAATATAGGTATTTATTTCATTTGTATAACTACCTGTTAATGAGTTTTCTGGGTAAATGGTAATTTTAAGTTTAACTTTATGAGAAACCCTCAGACAGTTTTTCAGAGAGGCTAAATGGTTTTGCATCCCCACCAATAATATATGAGAATTCCAGTTGCTCCATATCTTTGCTGGCACTTGGTATTGTCAGTTCTTTTCTTTTCTTTTTTTAAGCCATCATGATAGATATATCATTGTGGTTTTAAATTGTATTTCCCTTATGACTAATGATGTGTTTATTTGCCATCCATATATTTTAATTGGTGAAGTGTCTGTTTAAATATTTTGCTCATATAAAAATTGAGTTGTTCTTGTATTAATGAGTTTTGAGAATTCTTTATGTAGTCTGGATATGATCCTTTATAAATAAGCTATGTGATTTGCAAATCTTTTCTCCTGGTCTGTGGCTTGCCTTTTCATTCTTTTAATTGTGTCTTTTATAGAGCAGAAGTTCTTGATTTTGGTGAATTTCAAATGTATCCAACTTTTTTCTTTTATAAATCTTGCTTTTTGTGTCGGAATTAAAAATCTGTGTATAACTCAAGGTCATAAAGAATTTCTCCTATATTTCTTATAGACATTTTATGGTTTTAGATTTTACATTTAGATTTGTGATCCATCTTTTTAAAAAACCGGGGACCACTTTAAAAGTTTTAAACAGATTAGAGTTTGTACTGTGATCCATTTGAGTTCCTTTTGGTATAGGTTGCATCCAAATTCATTTTTTTGCATTTCCATATCCATTTGTTTCAGCACTATTTGTTGAACCAAGTATTCTTTCTCCATTCAATTGTCTGTAATTTTGTCAAAAATCATTTGATCATATGCAAATATACTTCAAAAAGTTCATGGAAAGATTCGTA